CCTTTCTACCTTTCCTTTTTCCCCTCTTCTTCCCCCTAAAAGAGACAGAGGAATAGAGAATCAGAGACACACACACTGACTCAGAAGGCTTTAAAAAGCACATAGGTTCAGATTTCACCACATCAAGAAGAGCTCAGATCTTAAGAAAAATAATGGGGTGGTAATTCCTCTCCTCAGCGCGGCGCAGGAAGCGTGCTAGCCATCTCTTCCTCCCCTTTCCTCACCACCAAGGATGGTACCTGTTCCACTGTTTACAGTGTACACCAGGCAGCAGGGAAGCAGACCCATCTACTGTGTGAAACAGGAGTCAAAACGCCCAAATAACATCAGAAGAGCTAAGATTTAGCCAACTAGGGAAGTTCCAGAGCCAGCTGCAAGCCCTGCGTAGCTTTAGCACAATGGAAGAGATTCTAACAGCAAATGCTCAAATTGCAAGAAAATAAGAGAATCTATCAGAGTATATCCCTGTAATACATCTTATCCTCAAAATTACCTATTATTAGGGGTTATTAAAAACATCCTTCTTCAATTTTAAGCTACAGATGTTTTGTAATGATGGAAAAAACAAACAGCAAGAAGTATTCCAAAGACATTTAAAAACTCCTTTCACAACACAACACAAAAAAAAAAAGAATTTTAGGAATTTTTACTAGATTAACAGAGATACAACATAACTAGGCATATATCTATTTGCTTTACCCCACAAAATCCTCAATGCTCAGTTATGTTATCAACTCAGTCCTTCAGAGATAAGCAGGTAATCTAAAGCTACACCAAAACCAGATGATATCCAATCATATAGACTGTGAACCAACTAGTGACAGGTTTTGTTTTGGTCAGATGTTTCTCTAGCATTTGTACATCATTCTCAGTTACAGACAAAGAAATAACAAGAAGTAAAAGAGCAACTAACTTTATTTTAAGGGTGCCAGCATCCCACAGCCAAAAGCATATTGTTCCATCTGCCCCAGTTGAAGATAAATATCTCTTTGAGCCACTGCACAGTGGAGAGAACTGGGGAAAAAAAAAAGAAAAAAGAAAGAAAAGGACTCATGTTAATCTGTTCCAGGCTAATGCTATTTTCTGTCATGTGCTATAAAGCTCCTCAAGTCATTGATCTCTCATAAAAAAATTCAGGTATCCAACCATATTCAAGAAAAAGCAATAAAATGCAGCAAACACAGAAACAACATGATGCTTCTCAGGATAACTCTCTCCCTCCAAAACCACTTTCTTGGGATATTTGCCAAATCACCTCCACGCAATCCAAGATTGTGCAATAGCACACAACACTACACAGAATAACTATTCAGCTGGCACTGCAGTTCTTAGTCAATGCACCTGTATATGGAACCACAGCTTGCAAAGAAATGATACTTCAAAGAAGAATCTCCGCATGCGCCATGCAATTTTTGGTAAAACTGTAGAACAAGGATTATGCCTTGCTGCTTTTCAAGTGTCAGACATTTTGATAATAAACAGAACTGATGTGTACCATGAGTATCCCTTTTCCATTCATGACTTAGTTGTCAGATACACCTTTTTACAACACTCCCAAGTGGTCTCCTTTTCAATTAAACAAAACTCGGGCGCTTAGGTGAATCCACAAAGCAAAATCCTACCTGCAATGATGTTATAGATGCACTGTGGCCCTGCAGAACTGCTAAGGGGGCACATGTCCGAAGGCACCAAACTCGGATCATTTTATCACAGCTCCCGGCAGCTATCATGGTGTTTTCGTAGTTCACTGCCATATCAGATATTTCCGCCGCGTGCCCTCTCAGCGTAGCCAGCAACCGCCCATCATCTGTTGCCCAGATTTTTACAAGGCAATCATCTGA